AATAAACAGTATTTTTGTTAAATACAATAATCTATACCTTTGAAAGTAGCACATGACATCCTCACAGGCTTACAGATGGAACAGCTTGCCTCACCACACTTTTTAATAGTAATATAATATTTTTCAAAGCAGCAACAATGAGACAGAAATTTCTGAAGATTATCTAACTTTTCAATAGAGGCTTTACTAGAGTGGTCACGAGTAAGTGAAGAATCAATGAGAAGCAACACCTCCCAAAAATCTTGTATCTCCTTTTGGGATGCACTTTCAAATACTTCGAACTTTTTATCTTTTAATTCAAGTCTTAGTATGATAGATTTTAATAATTCAATCGGAGGCTGTAATGCCTTCTGAACATCTTCTTTGAATGACAAACAATTTTCCCGGATTTGTTTTAAATTATTAGAACTTTTGACACTCTTCTCAAACTCCTCTTCACCTTGGCTTCTCATTATTCCAAGACACTGAATACCTAAATTTAGTATGGCCATAATTCTTTCTACAGGGTTTGCCCAGGAGTGAGATGGTGCAGTTCGTCCAGCTATTAAGACATCCAAATCAAGGTTAAGGAAAAGTGCAATTAAAGATAATTGGACACTCAGATATGTTATACGATGATCAGGACCACCATCAGAATATATAAATAAAATGTGACGCCCATCCATTCTGGTCATAAGAGTTTTATAGAGTTCTGTTGCATGACGTATTGGTGATGAAGCCTCAAAAATTCCATCTTTTAAGCCAACAAATACCTGACCTGAATAAAATGAGCCATCAATAGTCTCTGGTATATCCACTAACAGAACAACACTTGGTATAATTTTAAACTTTGTGAAATCATGATCTCCAACAACAAACACTTCATTACTAGACACTATAACTTCTCGTCCCCTTTCAGCAGCTGCTATGGGAAAACCAGGCTCACCAACTTTTATGAAGTGCTTATCGTCAATGCAAGCAAAGACTGATATATCTCTAAATTTAATTGCATAGTCCCTCATGTAACGAAATACTGCAGCACAAAAATGAGAGTCTGGATGAGTTTTACGAAATTGTCTCTTTTGTATCATATGCTTTGCATTCAATCGGGACGTATATTTTTTAGATGAATGAGAACGAGGATTCCGTGGACAAAAATTTAGTTGAACCCAAGAATTTGAAGGAATAGGGGTGTTTGGAGGGCACAATTTAGACACCTGTTCAATTAGGTCACGAATAGATATGGCCTTAGCCATAAAAACCATGGTGCCATGTCTTCTTTCTTGTACAGACGTACATTCAGACAAGTATTCAGAACACTTCTGCCAAAAAATTTCGAAACGATCACTCTTATTAGTATTTAGTTCACGGAGATCAACTACTATATCAGGATCTTCTGCTGTAAGTATTTCAAGAAGACGCTTATCTACCTCTTCCTCAGCAGTCGTTCGTGATGTTGAACTGTCCCCGGTCAATGAATGATATATACTTCTTAAAATATACGGCTTGCTCTC